GGGGGGGGGGGGGGGGGGGGGGGGGGGGGGGGGGGGGGGGGGGGGGGGGGGGAGGAACTGGGAAAGCAAAATCGTCTGAGCGGAGACGGACTGCTAAGAACGGCTCCAAAAAATTAACCGGAAAAACTTGTGGAACGATTAATAGCCGGAATGGTGGTAATCCGTGGAATCCTACAAATCAGTTCTCGGTCGGCCAAGAACGCGAAGTTGACTTACCGTGTACATCGAAACAAATCCTTGCCTCTGTAAGCGAACCTTTAATTTCGAGTCAAAAACACAATTCAACGTGAAAACGAGTAAACCAGCTCCGTGAACATTATCACATCCAGCAACATTTCGATAAAGCTTGTAATAATTATTGCGATCATTGTTATCGTCATTACCATCATCATTGTTCTAAATTTTATGTTTCTCGTGCATGTCCAAAAGCACCAACAGACGATTCGTTAAAGGCTTTTTTTCTTACAGAAGCATTTTACAACACATAACAGTTATAGGTGAAGCATCTCCTTCGACTTCCCCCTCCTTTTCCCTTCCGTTTCTCTTCCTCTTCTGCTCGCGAAGAGTTTTCCGTTCACTTTTTTCATTAATTTTTTTTGCTCATTTCCCGGTCATTTCTTTCATCCCGCATCTCCGCCCACACTTAATCATCAGTTCTCCCTCGTTTTGATATATATTTTTAACCGCAGTCCTTCGGGTATCTGAGAAATGCATTGTTCTGTCCATATGCAAATGCTGCATCATTCGACTCTTAGAACTTACCTGTTTCCTCGAACTTTTAAATTGTCAAAGTGAAACGGGATTCCGGTTTGCATCACGCCAACCTTTTCGTGCTAGTTGCGGCTTACTTTCACAAGTATTACGGCTAAGGGATGAAGTATTACGGCTAAGGGATCCTCGCTTGCCTACTAAATATACAACGGGTAATTCCTATGTCTCCCATTTGGATATTTCTCTACAACACCGAAAATGTGAACTTAGTTTTTTAGATAAAGCTAACGTCCCAAACGTATTACAAGCAGAAATGTATTTGCTACTATTTCTAGGATTATGTCTCACAGCGATTATAAGTTTGCTCGAACTGTTTATTGTGACCATTACTAATGAATCCATTCGTTGCCCCGGGACTTAATCCGCTGGATCAATCAGACAGCTCTTGGACGCTTCAATGTATTGAATAGAAGTACGAATTTTAATTGCTCTGTTTCTGGCGCCGCCAATTCCGTCTTCCTGCAGTCAAGCTGTCTCGGATTTCAGTAGTCATTTTGTTCTGTGTGCAAACATTGTTGCTGGGTGGTAAGTGTCCACTTATGTGTATTGTTCGTCCTATTATGTTTAGTAACAGTGTTCAAACAGATTACTCGTGCATTCACTTTTGCTTACATGTTTTACAAGCATCCTGCTGCGCAGCTCACCATCCTGAATGACCACCGTCTCTCCTGCTACTTTTCATCTTTTCTAAGGGTCATATGCTTGCAGTTTCTTGCAACGGACAGATTATATTTTATCGAAATTTGTGCATCAAATTTTAACCAAAATATAGGCTTCTTAATCTTTAGTTCTCACCTTCTTTGACAAGTTTTTCTTTACTGCTAAATTTGGTGGAAATTTGCTTTAATTTTATCACATAATTTCACATTTTTGGTATAAAATTTCACACTTTTAAATTTGGTAATTAATTTTTTATATGTGTGTTTATAATTTTGCTTAAACCTGATAATTTAGTATCGGTTATTAAATATAAATATTATTGTTCTAAAGAGAAATATTTCCGATCTTCATAATTAACATTTTACTAAAATTTACTTGAGTCTTCAAAAAATTTTTTCAAAAACTGTAGTATCACTTTTTATTTTTTTTTTTAAATGAATTGGTGCAAACAATACCTCTGTAGCTAAAAATTTGCTGACTAATCCCACACAGTTTTCCGTATGAGGTTTGGCGGCAATGGCTCGCATCCTAGTTGATAATATCCTCACCACTAGTTTGATAACATTTCAGTGCCCAATTTCCGCTAATGCCTTCAGTCCTTCCAAGGATTACTTGGGAACTTAGGCAGTTTGATTCAACAACAATAAACAGGTGCAGTGGCTGTCAAAACTGATCGCCTTTTGATAGCCGTCAAAGGTCAAAAACAGCTAAAAAAATGTGTCGGTAGTGCCTGTCCACTTTTCATTCCCTGTCTGTCAGCAGCTTTCTTCTCCGGGATCCGCATGCAGCACTTTGTTTCGAAACTTTCCCTACTATTACTTGCCCTTGTTTGTGCAACGGCTAATGCATGAATTGTGCAGGCTGTATCTCATTTTCACCGCGGGATTCCATTTTATCTCTTACTGGGGAGCATTTATTCACAGGTTTGTTCAGGCAAAAGTAGGGAGTAAAAAAATTACGGAAAACTCTCTAAGTCTGCTGGTTACAACTGAGCCGCCTCAGGGTTCACAATATGGAGTACAGCCAAGCTCATCACTGGGATGCCCAGTAAGCATTCCACGTCATTCCTTTACCGCTTGCGGCTTTCTCAGTGCAAAAGGGGAGGGGAGAGGTGCTGTGTGGTGATTCCAGACTTGACCCAAATATTATCCATAAAATACCGGAGCGGCGGTACGGCAGTTTCGCATTTTCATAAAGCACAAAGGCAAGTGTTAATGGCATACATATGCTGCACCGTCGATGTCCTTTTTAAGCGAAGGTTGTCCGGCGGCATCTTCGGTCAGCCCCGCTGGTCCAGTTGCTTTCGTTTGTTCGCTTGTTGTCCAGCTAGCAAAAAGTGTTTCTGTTGAGGGCGCTAAACGGTTTGTTATGCAAATCGAGCCTCCTTCACTTTTTCAGGAGTGCTATGTAATTTTATTACACATTTTCAGTTATCCCTCTCCGTTCAAATGCTCATTCAAATATTAATGTCCCAGTGGCTAGTTGCTGCGGAACTTCGAACCCCCCCCCCCCTTCTACATTCCAACCTGCCCCGTAACATTCCAATCTGCTGAAAAGAAACGGACAAACCACTGTCCCGCATTCATTTGTTGCCCAGTACTGTTCTCCTTGAACTGTTACCTGGCTGGATTAAAAGTGTTAGGCCTCTTGGACTCGAGACTGGTGTTATGCGTGCAACTAGTGCTAGGTCTACAATTAGATACCAGGATTACATGGTCAGACAGTGCCACACAACCGGGAAACCATCGAACAGGGCTGTTAGATGAAGTTAAGCGTATCCGGTGTCTTGGGCTCTTGTCTGAGTTTTTGGACGAGTTATATGCTCGTAAAAAATAAATCCTTATAAGCTCTTCATGCCGCGAAAGACTTGGGAGAGAAAGATCGTGCTCGAAATTTGAAAAATGTCTGCTAAGATAGTTCATCCCAATGGTCTGCTGCCAACTTACGAGGTTCGGCAGTTGAAACAATAAATCAGCTATTTAATTAGCGAACAATGAATTGGTGTGTGCCTCCGGAAGCAAGTCAGCTGCCAGCCAAGAGCTCTACTCTTGCACTGATACTCCGTGATGGAAAAACGTGTTGTAAGCTGACTTAGCTGATTGATAGCCGTTGATCCTTTCATCCGTGTTTGGCGGGTTTGTTGTAGTTTTTCGCGATGATTACAGTGATGATAAAGACAGTGACAGTGATGACAACTGAGATAATATGGATAAAGGTGTCCGAAGCTTCGTTACTTTGCGGTCAAGTGGAAGTAGCAAGAAAGGTTCATGGATACACCAGAAAAAGAATTTTGATAACAAGACTTGATAGTTGGTGAAAAATGATTTTACTTCATTTGTGATTGGATTGTATAGATTTCACTCACATATATCTTTATTTCCTAGAAAGTCGTATTTACGCCACATTCAGCACGGAATTTATATTTTTGAAAATTGTTCTGCTAAGTTGTTTTTGGGGGCAGATGTGGAAGAATGACTAAGAAAGGCGCATCCGTTGCCGTTAGCATCCAGACTCCGTTTCTGTCACTATCATAAGTCCAATACAGGTGGCATCAATACTCATCGCCCGCAAACTTATTTCTTTGCATAAGCAATGAATTAAAAGTGTATTCTAGCAAAATTCCAAAAAAATAGCACCAAATTGAAATTAAACTGCTAAACAGGAATGTTTCAGTCTTCGAAGTGGATAGTCAGTAGCGCTAATCTAATCAGATCCTCAATTTCAGCCTGGCCATAGCCTCTAGTAATGGAGGGGATTTTTTGGTTATCCTTTAATTTCATGAAGCAGGGATATTCCCTACTTAGTAAGCAAATCCTCTTCTCCAATTGTTCATTATATACTTGATGCAGATCAACTTGTCAACCGCTGATGTACACTTCACGTGCGGTGACCTCCGGCCCGAAGTAGATATCGAAAATCCCTTTGTCACTGCTAATGAATGTCCTGTAATTATCTCGTGCCTCAACTTAGTTAATTGCAATCTATTCTAGATGCCGTAAATCGGTCACTTCAAAGGCGAATTCTAATCTGCTCCTGAAAACACCATTAGCACTTGCTCCTCACATAGACAGAGAGGAATAGCAATGCACGGATCGACCAGTGACTCTTTTTTGATGATGCCGATTGATTATCCAGGTAATCCTCACTGCGACGGTGACAGAATCTCTCTCGTCACTGATGAATTTTCAGTCATTTTTCTAACGGGGTGTGTATCATTGTCTGATTCATTTCGGTGAATATTAACCTCAGTTTTCGAGGCCAAATCCTGGTTTTTGCACTTCATTCCATCGAGTTCCGTTTCTTACTTCATTTGCTTATATTTCGACATCCCTTGCATTTTGCGCCTCAATATTTCTAAACTTTCGTGTTTCAACGTACTCCAACGCCTTCTGCATCGCGAAGCAAATGCCGCCTCTTACCTTCACGGGCTGCGTTTGCATTTTATGTCCTTTTCCTAAGTTTTACGTTTCTGAATCTATTTTTTTCACACGTCTTTTATGGCACCCTTCTAAAAACTGAGCAGTCCCTCGTTCTTCAACTATTTTTGAACGTGATCTTCAGCGTGAACTTACTGTTTGCTTCGCGTGAAGCGAACTGCCACTTTGCTTTATAAATGTGTTTTCTTGTCTCTCTTAGCTTAGTCCGTCATTCAGAAAGCTGTTTGTTATTGGCACATTCCAATGGCATCAGTAGTTTCGTGCCGGTTGTTGGTTGATTGGTTAATAATTGTTTTGCAATGCAAAAAGTGCCCGCACTGATATCCTGCAAGATCCGATAGTTTTAATCTCAGAGGGATGTTAACGGTGAATGAAGGGTGGGGAGGAGAGAGAGGGGGAGGAATTCGTAGTAATAAAGTAGAAATCCTGCCGAAATCAGGATGTCTACTGTTGTCACTCGTGACTCTTTCAAATTCTCGTTTTAGTATAATAACAGATAAAGATGCTCTCAAACTCATGTTAGTTTCTTGATTTTCTCAAACTCATGTCAGTAGTTACTTGATAGCCGACAGAAAATCAGCCTTCTACGATCCACTGATTCGTTTCAGTGGTAAATTGGTACTTGCAAGCCGGTCGAGTCAGAACCGCCAGCAGTTTGTCTGTAAGCAGGCTTCCCACAGAGAGCCTTCGACAGTTCTGCAATCACTTTTTGGCAGTGCGCTGCTGCTCGGACAACTTTTGTGTGCTTTTGCTTATTGAGAGCGAATTACGGAGGAAATTTTGATTTTACACTTGCCGTTTCCTTCTCACTTTTTAGTGCTCACAGTCAACGATTCAGTTTGCCTGCGGCATCCTTGTTTTTGTGATTCCTCCATTTTTTGCAGTTGTCGCGTCCCCACTTGAAAAACCCGTTTTTTTAGGTCCTCCAAAAGCTCTCAAAGACGGTATCAATATCGTCTAGCTACAAAGGACCGTAATAATATTGCCACTACAGGAAGGAAGGAAGCAAGGAACACCGGAGGTGTCGGTATCTCCTTTTGACACATCTGTAAGACAATATTCCGAACATCTGTTGTCTGTGTGTGTATGTGCGTCTGTTTGCTCAAGGAAATTAGTATTTTTGAGAGGTGTACTGTAGGCGATGTCTTAATGAAAATGCATTAAATAGCAGTGAGCAAATGTATCGATTTATTTGAAAACTATCTTATTATTAAGACCACTTGGGGTATCAGTGTGAGTATCCCTTGTTAGTGATGTTACTAAAATGCTTCGATCATGGACTGCGTACGTCCAGCTAAATAGGCGCATTTGGAGGTCTCTGCATGTGCCAAACTTCTTGGATTTTTTTGTATTCGTTAAAAAAATTGGCAGTCGCGATAAAAGACGAATGATCAGAGGCTTTCTGATAACGATAATTTCTAATAATAGCGCAAGCCGCCCTTATCAGGCGCCACTTATTGCTGATCATTGCACCGAAGAAGCAAAGTTCAGGAAAGTAGTTTGTAGATGTGCGTGCTGTCCTCGTGAGGC